CGAAGCGCTGTGCTGGATGGGGGAAACGCATGCGGACACCGCCACTGGGGCCTTGTACTGGGTGGGGGAAACGCATGCGGACACCGCCACTGGGGCCTTCGGTAGAGCCCCCATATGGGGCCACGAAGCATTGCACTGGGTGGGGGAAACGCATGCGGACACCGCCACTGGGGCCTTCGGTGGAGCTCCCTATGTGGCCACGAAGCGCTGTACTGGGTGGGGGAAACGCATGCGGACACCGCCACTGGGGCCTTCGGTGGAACTCCTTGTGGGGCAACGAAAACGCTGTACTGGGTCGGGGGCACGCATGCGGACACCGCCACTGAGGCGTGCGGTGGAACTCCTTATGGGGCCACCAAATGCTGTATTGAGCGGGGGAGACGCATGCGAATACCGCCACTGGGGCCTTCGGTGGAGCCCCCTATGGAGCCACAAAGCGTTGTACTGGGTGGGGGAAACAAGGAAACGCATGCGAACCATGCCATTGGGGCTTCGATGGAGCTCCCAATGGGGCTACGAAACGTATGAGGGGTGTGCCAAAGTGGAGGGGGGGGGCGGCATGCGAACGCAGCCATTGGGGCCTTCGGTGGAGCTCCCTTTTGGGCCGCGACACGTGGGAGGGGTGTTCCAAAGTGAGGGGGTGACGGGAGAAGGGAGAAGGGGGAGGAGGATGAGAGAAAGGGATGATGATGAGGAGGACGCGGGGCACCGTGTCTTCAAAACGAGGACCCAGCACCACAAGATGGTTGGGAACACTGAGAACCTACAATCTGAAACACTATAACATTCATATACTCGGCAACATGAGGAGACCCATGCAATAAAACACAATAATAAATCCAGAATCAGAAGAAAGTTAGAAGAAACGAAAACCAGTAATGCTTGGCTCCTGGGTGCCCTCACATCGGAGGTTGGGGGGTGAGATCGCAGCGGGACGGAGACCCCCAACTGGGAAATCGTGTCGCTTCGTTCGTGTCGTGCGTACGGGCGAGGCGAAGATGCGTGGGCGCGCGAGAGGAATGAACCCGCCGTTGCTAGGGCGAAGTCAAAACAAATGATTATCCCCCGTCCGTCCGTCCGGCGGTGGCCCCAGCGGTGTCCCGCGGTGTCCCGCGGTGTCCCGTGGTGTCCCGTGGTGTCCGCCGTTGCTAGGGCGAAGTCAAGACAAATGATTATCCCCCGCCCGCCCGTCCGTCCGTCCGTCCGGCGGTGGCTCGTCCCGCGGTGTCCCGAGGTGTCCCGTGGTGTCCCGTTGAGTAAGATCGATACTGAGATCGATAGTGAGACCGATAGTGAGATCGATAGTGAGATCGATAGTGAGATCGATGTGGTGCCCCGAGGTGTCCCGTGGTGTCCCAAAAAGTGAGATCGACAGTGAGATCGATAGTGAGATCGATAGTGAGACCGATAGTGAGATCGATCATGAGATCGATAGTGAGATCGATGTGGTGCCCCGAGGTGTCCTGTGGTGTCCCAAAAAGTGAGATCGACAGTGAGATCGATAGTGAGACCGATAGTGAGACCGATAGTGAGATCGATAGTGAGATCGATCATGAGATCGATAGTGAGATCGATGTGGTGCCCCGAGGTGTCCCGTGGTGTCCCAAAAAGTGAGATCGACAATGAGATCGACAATGAGATCGACAGGTGTCCCGTGGTGTCCCGTGGTGCCCCGTGGAGTGAGATCGATAGTGAGATCGAGAGTGAGATCGATACAGAGATCGAGAGGTGTCCCGCGGTGTCCCGTGGTGGCCAGTGTCCCGTGGTGTCCCGTTGAGTGAGATCGATAATGAGATCGATAGTGAGATCGACAAATGTCCCGTGGTGTCCCGTTGAGTGAGATCGACAGTGAGATCGATTGAGTCAAATGTTGGTTACCCCCCTCTCCCCCCCGCAACCTCCTTATCACCCGAAGGATGGTCGTATAGGTAGTTATGTGTTTGTTAATTTTGTTGTGTTTGGTTTGTGGGCGCACTCACAGGGTTTGTGGGCCCAAGACGCTTTCATGTTGCTTTTGACTGTTTTGGTGTCTTATTGTTTTTGATTGTATGGGTGTCTTCTTCTTTTCGACTGTATAAACTTCTTATAGTAGTTGGATGGATGTCCGACCGTCTTTGATTGTGTGAATTTCTCGTTGCTTTTGATTGCGCGGATCTTTTTTCAGAAATCATCAGTCTTCAAGAGCCCCTTGCAAAACTAATTAAACGAAATGCGCACGCGCGCGTCGTCGCACGCGCAAGCCAGAATCATTCGAAAACCGTCGGCTTCGCAAGGATTTCAAAATCGAGTGTCCAAAACTCATGGAAAAGCACATGGGCTTGGCACACGGAATGTCAAAAACAAAACTTTCGCGCGCGCTCTTGCGAACTCGTAAGAAAACCATAAATGCTTAAACCTGTCCATAAAACGCTACCAAACGGGTTTCGCGCGCGCGTGTATGTCGGAATCGTTCGTGCGCCCTTGCGCGCTTGTCGCAAGAGCATTTTCCCTTACAAAAAACAGGAAGAAATTCACGCGCGCGCGTCGTCGCGCGCGCATGCCGGAATATGTTACAAGTCTTAGGTGTCGCAAAGATTGCAAAACCGAGTGCCCCGAAACGATGTGAAACATATGGTTTCACAACATCAGTTGCGCTTGCTCTCTTGTGAATTCGAAAAGGAACGTTTTAAATCCTTCAACGCGCTCATGGGATTCTGCCAAACAGGCCTCTCGCGCCGCATGCCGAAATCTGTCGAACACCCCTGCGCGCGCGCTGGGGGTACGACCCGTGTCAAATAATACCATGCCCCCACTCTCGCGCGTCGGCCGCGCGCGCATGTCGAACTCCTTACAAAACCTTCATCACCGACGCGGGGGCGCCGTCATCGTCGTCGGCGTGATCAGCATCGGGCCGTCGCTGGCCGTGCCGTCGTCGCTGTCAGCATCGGCGCTGGCATCGCTACGATTATCATCGTGTATACCGTTGTCGAAGTTGCGTTGATACCGCGCCCGCCCAAGTCGCCGACTCGCAGTGAAGTGCCCGCTGGGATGTGCCGAGCGGTCAGCGCCACCGCGGCCGCGTCGGTCGCGCCAAAACAGCTGGCCGCTGCACGCGCGTGCACGCGCGGGCTGGCGCGGCCAAAGAGGCGCACCAGCCAGCGCCAAGCACTAATCGCAATCGCCGCCGCATGGGCGTTGCAAACCAAGTTGCGGGTGAGTTGGTGAGATGTTTGCAGAAGCAGTGGGGTGGACAGCTTGAAGTTGAACAGTGGTGGATTGCACCACGTAGATTGCACCGAGTAGATTGCAAGAACCTACTGTTTGGGGTCCACGCTGGCGAACATGTTTTTGATTGCACGGGCGTCTTACTGTTATGATTGCGAAGAAGAGAAGGGCGATGAGGAGGATGGGGAAGCATGAAGAAGATCATGAGCATGAGAAGGAGAAGGGACAAATGATGATGGTGGTGATGAGGCTGATGATGATGCTGCTGGTGATGATGGAGGAAAGGGAAGCGGAGGAGGAGGAGGACGAGGAGGAGGACGAGGAGAAAAACCTCACGACACATCGTCGCACATCTGCTCCTTGCGCCACCCACCCCCCGCGGGGCGCCGTACGGGTAGTTGGCGTAGGGCGGCGGCGCCGGGGCTTCGTGGCCGCCTCCTGCCCAGCCCCCGCCGCGCCCTCCTCGAGAGAGGTCGGCGCGGTGACTCGGCGAGCGGCAGGGAGGAGGAGTGAGGGAAAAGGGGGAGGGGGAGGAGGAGGTGGACGATGAGGAGGAGGAGGGGGAGGAGTAGGAGAAGGAGGAGGAGAAGGAGGAGGAAGAGGAGGAGGAGGAGGAGGAGGAAAGGAAATCCATGATGATGAGGAGGAAGAGGAGGAGGAAGAGGAGAGAGGAGAGAGGAGGAAGAGCAGGAGGAGGAGGAGGAGGAAGAGGAGGAGGAGGAGGAGGAGGAAAGCGACGGAGGAGGAGGAGGAGGAGCGAACGCACCCTTGCGGGGACGTCTGTTTGAGCTCGACGGGCGCCGCGGCGCGCGGCCCGCACCGCGGTCCACTGCAGCGGGGAGGCGCAAGGCCCGACGCGCGGCGGTCGTCGGCAGAACGTGTTCGGACTCGCGGAGGTAGGGTCGCGTCGCGACGCCCATGCGGATGGCCGAGCTCCACACGCCCCGTTCCCACCCTCGTACGGCGTCTGCAAATCTGGGAGCCCCACCCGTACCAGGCCGCTCGAGCTCAGTTGGCCTCTCGGGAAATTCGGCGATGTGGTGCATCATCTTCGGGCACTGCAAGCAGTGCTGGATGGAATCGGGGCAATCGCAGCCGACGGTGCACCGACTGGCGTTTCTGTGGGATCACGCGCACGCGGTCGATACTTATTCCAAGCACCCACGAGGACCTTTAGGACGGCCCGGGTGCGCGATGGCGGCTGCGTCGCCAGGAACTTGCGGAGGCGCGCCTTGCGCTCGGCGAGGTTCGCAGGGACTCCCTGGAGCTGGATCAAGTCTGGCATTTTACTCTCCGCATCTACGTCGTGCTCATCCTCACCGCAATGCAACTGCGGGCCCTCCTCGTTGGGATAGCGGTCGCGCTGGCTGCGTACACGTCGTCTTCTCGCATGATGCTCGGTCGCGGCGAAGCGGCGCGGCGCCCTCTGACGTCGTGGGCGATCACTGTCGTGGCCCACGTCGCTGAGATGGGCGAGCTCCAGACGACTCCGCGCCAGGTTGGACGTGTCCCAGGGTTTTCGCGCAGATCTCGGCAGCTAGGCGGCGGCGGCGTCGCGCTCGAATTCGGCGCGGCGGCTGGAAGAGGTCGTGGCGCAGCGCGTGGTAGACGTGTTCCACGCCCTGCACGTCCCAGTCGTTCGTGTCGTTGATACTACGATCCAGAAGGATGACATCTGTGATCCAGGAGCCCGCCCAACATACCGCGCGGCTCTGAAGTCGTTCACGCGCGGTCTCTGCTCGCATCAGAGCGGGATCTTCACGGCGAGCAGGGGTAGGGGGTTGGAGGAACCAGGCCTGGGCGCGTTTCTTGGCCGCGATGTGGAAGGCGTCTGGGTGGGGCCGTTCGCGCAGGGCCATCAGGTACGCCATCTGGGGAAGGCGCTTCTTGCGGGGCGCCCCCATCGCCCCGCGCGGGTTGTCGCAGCGCGCCGGCTGTTCCGCGGCGCGCGGCGCGCCTGCGACGAGTGCTCCGGCAACGCGTTGGACCGTGCTCAGCGAGCGGACGAGGCGCTTGAAATCCGGGCCCGCGGTCTTGACGACAAAGGCGGAGCTGGCGATGGCCGCGAAGCACTGCGCGACGGCTGCGGGTTTCGCCCAGCGGGGGGCACGCAGGCGTCTGCTATTGGCGGTCGCAATGCTGGGGCATTCGCAGGCCGCGTCACGAAGCGAGTTGGGCCCGTCAATCCATTCCGCGACGGCAACGGCAGCTGTTCTCCAAAGTGTAACCCGCTGCCCCCGATAATAAATCATACCCCCCTGTCACCCCCTCTATGTTTTATCTCGTGTCAATAAGATTTAATAATGGAAAAGGCGCGGAGGCCGAACTTGATAGTCCCCTGGGGGAGTTGCGAATCGAAGTTGCCATCGTCTCATGTTGACTAGCAACAACATCGAAAATGCTGAGCATGGCCAAGGCCAAAGCCAAGGCCAAGAGCAAGGCCAAGTCAACGCCCTTCAAGGACCCCACGGCGGTCGAGCCGAAGCACGCCACCTTCGTGGAGGCAAGCGCTGCCGCCCAGGCCTGCACCAAGTGCCTCCCGTGTAAGGACGGCCCCAAAGGATGCCGAGCCTGCGTGGGCGAGTGGTTTGAGGCCGTGCGCAAAGGAGGTTTCTTGGCCAGGAGCGCCAATGACCTCTCTTCCGCAGGCAAGTTGTAGCCACGAACCTCGAGATCTCTCGAGTCAGCCTTGTGCCAAGATCGACAAGGTCAGTCTACGCGAGCGCCTAGGATCATCATCATCATCATCAGCATCGTCATCATCAATCATCCAACATCACACTCCCCGGGAAAATCGTTGATTATGCCCGCCAGACCCCCGAACTGTATTACCCCACGGGGAGTATTGTCGGGATCGCAGGGTTAGCCGACAGGAGCAGCTCGATGTCGCGAGGCGCCTCGGCGTTGGTCCAGGACGTCATGGCGAATATGTCAGACCTGGCAGAGCTTATGGGTGCACTGCGAAGCAGTTCGTGGACGCCCTGATGTTCTGTCGAGAGAAGAAGAGGTTCGCGCAGCTGGTGCACGTAGAGGCAGGTCACGGCAGCGATGTTGCCCATCTGGATGCTTTGCTGAAGAGACGCGCGGGAGTCGGCGACATTGAAATGTGGTCCCATCACTTTGCTGCAAGGCCACGCCATTGGTCAAGTAGGCTGGCGCCAGGACCGACGAAGCCGAGGAAGCGTCCCCTGTCTGCAATCGTAAAGCAGCCCCAGGGTGCGTGAATGTGCGCCTTCATGGGCTGCGTGCAAGTGATCAGGTCGGTGGTCGGAAGCATCCAGGTCGGGGCGACGATGCGCTTCTTGGCCTGCAGCTTGGGGCCGGCGAGTTGGTAGGCTGCGAGTAGGCGCGGTGCCGGGTGTTCTACGTCGCGAAGGCGTCGCGGCATGATCCAGAGATCGCCGGCGCAGGCGCTGACTTAGCCACGCCGCAATGTCTGGAGTTCCACGGGGATGGCGCGGATCGCAAGGTCGAAAATCAGAGCCCGCGCCGCGCCGCTGAGCGGGAAGCCTTGCGCGACCCCCGAGTCGGCGCGCGCGGCGGGCGGCGGGCCCCCCCGAGCGAGAGGAAGGAGAGCGGGAACATGTAGAACGTCTGGAGTCACTGCCACACGTCGCCGACGATGCCCCTGCGGCCTAGGACAGCCCGCGCCCGCTGGCGGTTCAGCGACGGGAAGGTGGCAGCGATGTCCATGGAGGCGAAGACGAGCAAGCGCTCGCGGGCGTCTTCGGCGATGCCCAGCTGGCGCGCCCCCGCGTCTACCAGGGCGACGTCGCGGATGAAGTGGCGACCAGCGGCAATTCCCCCTTCTGTTCGTCGGCGGTGTTGGCGGCGACCTCGGAGAGGGTGCGATTCGCAGCGGGCGCGGGCAGCCTGACGTCGCTGTTCTTCGCGCTCACAGGGCGCGGCGCGGCGGGGCTGCGCGCGCGCCCCCCAGGGAAATCAAAGGAAGACCGCGGGGGGTCAACCACTCGCCCATGCGCGTGCCCGTCGGAGCAGCGCGTTCTTCGCGGCGCTTGCTCGAGTCTGCCCACGAGACCAGCCGTCGCGACAGCCCGCGGCACCTGGGGCAGGGCGCCCCGACGAGGTCGCCGCGTCAGTGGGCGCTAGTCTGAGCCAAGGCATGAGTGCCATCATCGAGGGATGCTTCTGCGCTTTCGTCTTGGACACCCATCCAGCGACAGGCCACTGCCTGCCCGGGGACCAACAAGAAACTGCGCCGGTAGCGGGAATCGCCTCTCGGCGGGGGGCAGGTGTCGCTGAGCTCCGCGGTTGTCGCGGCGCCAAAGCCATCGAACTGCGGCGCGTCGTCGCCGCTGCGCAACACTTCTGCCCCCCTGGTGTCGATGTGATCGTGGAGCCCAGGATCTCTGACCTCGAGAGCTGACGCAGAAGCAACCTCGCGAGTCTTGGCAGTGGGCAGGACAAGGAGCATCGCGGCCGCCGGAAGGACCCCTTCGCGAGAAGATGGGCCATCGAAAGGATCTGGGGCATCTTTGCGATCCATAATGATGGGTCTACGTCATGCTTCTGGGCCGCGATGTCCGGAGCGGCAATCGCATTCTTCGTCGCCCATGATCTCGCCCGCGAGAGGCGCAAGAGCGCGCGCCCCTGCGGGCCCCGCGCCGCCCCTCAGCGCGGCGCCGCGGCGTCGGGGCGAGGACGCTCGCGCCCGCCGACGCCGAGGCTGTCGCGCGCCGTGGAGTTGCTGCCGATCGAGTGCCCCGAGCCTCCCGCGCGCCCAGCGCGCCCCATGTCGTCGCAGAGCGCGTCCTCCTCAGGAAGGCCCCCACGCGGGCGTTGAAGCAGATGCGCATCGGGATCCAGCTGGTTGCTGGGGCGGGGGTCTCTTCGCCACCGCTTCCAAAACATCGCGTCGATCGCCTCGCCTCGCGCGCGACGGGTCGGGGGCCCACCCTCCCGGGAGTAGATGTTCGCGGGCGCGCATCCGCGTCGCAGCGCGCCCCCCTCGTCTCTATTGGGCCAAGGTTTTGTGAGATGTTGCCGAAGACGTTCTCGCGGGATGGTAGAGGGGCGCCGGCCTGCCAGGCGCAACTCTTCCGCCGCGGCCATTTCTGCGGCGCGGGCCGGATAGGCATGCCGACCAGGGGCCGGGGGCAACGTCGAGCCACGGTCTAAAGCCTGCATATTGTAGCAGGTCCGTCACGCATGGCGCGCGCCTGATCACCCAACCGTCGCGGTCTGCGTCGGAGCCGCCAGCGAATGGGGATGGTAATCGGTTTTGATCCCGAAGTGAAATCTCCTCCGTAAGTTCTCGCCTGCGCTGTTCGCGTCGGGGCAATCGGCAGGGGCATTCTTGCAGTTGGGCGCGCAGGAACTCGATCGCGAAGCTGGGGGTGGGGTGGGCGCGCCGCAGAGATCCCGCGTCACCGGGAGTCGGCCACTCATCCCAAGGACCTTCGAACAACTCGCCATGGCCGTCAACTGGGGCCCGACCCGCCCCCGGACCAGAAGGGGGAAGAAAATCGCGGCCCCGCGCCGAGAAGGTAGAGGCGGGGCCGCCGACCGAAGGGCCGCTGTCGGACGAGGAGAACGCGGACGAAGACGCAATAGGCGCAGAGACGAGCGAACGCCCAGCACGCGCGAGCAAGAGGCCACCGAAGGCGGCGTTGATCGCCGCCGCGACCTGGTCGAGGGGGGAAGATGGCGCGCCGCCCAAACCCCGCGCAGAAGCCAACGCTGTTGCTGCAGGCTCCGCTCTGGTCCACCAGGGTCGGACGGCCGACGGCTTGAATGCGATCGCCGCCTTCGCCGCCTTTGAAGCCCGTCCATCCGCGCCCAATTATTGCGCGAGATGGCGCCGCAAAGGAAGTGGGCGTGGAGCGGGGGGCCCAGCGAGTCAATTCGCTTGTGTAAGATGCACAATTTGACCAGCGGCCCACAGTCCAAGTAGATCCTGCCGCCAGAGCGCGCCGCGGCCAGGGCCCGCAGGAACCGCGGGCAGACCAGCAAATGACGCATTTCATCGCGACAATCTTCGCAGCCTAAGATTCAAGAGTGCTTGCCCCCGCGCGCGGGGCCCTCTGCGACGTCGCCCGCCCGCGCGCCCGCATGCGATCTTAGAAGAGCATTGGCCCGGGCGCTCAGGTCGCTGGCAATTTCGGAGGTCCATTTCGTCCACCTGGTCGCAAATAATGTGGTGGGAACTGATTGGAGCTGGATGGCGAGGTTTGGATTCCCCCGTAGCTTGCGCCGATGCCCGCTGCCAGCGCTCCACGAGCACGGCGTGGGCCGTCTTCTGGAAGGGCTTGCGTTTGCAACTGCTCGCCTGGATTGGGGGCTCGCAAGAATATGGTAACAAACTCCTACCTGAAAAAAATCACTCTGGCGGCCGACGAGAAGGCCCCGCAGGGGCAACCGCCAAGCATGGGAACGCGGGGGCGACAGCCCGCAGGGGCGCGCCCCCAGGCCAGCCGAGGAGTCGTCTGGCGCCCCGTCAAGCGAAGCTGCCTGGCGACGCAGATCGGCGCACTCGAGTTCAATCGCAAAAAAACCCACGGATGCACCAACAGTGATTTGAGGCCACTCCTGGCGCACACCTCGACCAACCCAATGGAAATCTCAGAACATGAATGCGCCAACCAAAACTTCAAACCAAACTTCCTCAGGCGTTTTCGCTTAGCTGCCCACCTCAACGGTAAACCATGCGTTTGGCCTCGGTTCAACGGCTCGCGGAGGCGTGCCACTGGCTGCCGCCGTCGAGGAAACCCAAAAAGCTGTCTGGGGAGAAATACATTACTGCGCTGACTCACACACCTGACTGGAGGTCCTCGACCGCCTGGGCTGCGGGCTGCATGTCAGCGCGCCGCGGACGACAGGGCCCCGCCGCGCAAGTTTGGCACGGCGTGAGTGGAACAGGTGGGGTGGCCCAAAACGAGGGCACGGGGGAGGTTGGAAGCTCGGAGTGGGCGGTCCAGGATGCACTTCGCTGCCTCCGCGCGGTAACGGGCAAGGTGGTCGCGCCGCTTGCCGCGAGTGATGCGCGCTGACCTGATCAGCTCGGCCTTCGCGAGGGCCCTGACCGAAAGAAGCTACATGCCACCCAGGTCCTAAAGAAAAGTACAATCGAGGAGCCGAAACGTGCCTCCTGCGCGTCTGCGTGGCCACGCCAGCAGGCGCATTTCATCTCGCAAGAGCTTGCTCGGGAGCGGGGCCAACTGCGCGATGCAGCCCAGGGCAATGGTGGCCCTCGCGTTGCACATGAAGGCGTCGGCGCTCGAAGGCGCGGCCATCGTTGCCGCCGCCGCGCGCGCCTTGAAGTCGCCCCGAGCCGTCTGTCAAGCGACCCCTTTGTGGGGGGCAGCCTTAGGGGGCGCGGGCGTAGAGGGGGTGCGCCGACCTGGAGTCGGCGATGCATCGCCGACAGATCGGCGATAGGCCTCCAATCGTGAATCTGCGATTTCCTGGGCAGGTTGGGACTATCGGGCCCCTATCGGCGATCAATGGGCGGTTGGGGGTCGATGCCCCCCCCCATGCCCACCCACCCCGATCGTCATCCCCGACCTTGAGACGCCGCAGGGCGCATCCAGAAACCCACATGCAGCAATGCGTCCGCGACAGCGAAGTCCTTTCACCGTGGTGCGCTTTGGCTGATAATGAGAGGCAGCACCGTATTGACAGCCGGCTGGGCCCCCGCTGACAGGTGAGCAAGCCTGCGTTTGGGGGCTTCAGTTCGAGCGCCGCATGCCGCCCTGCTTCGCCCATCGCTTCGGCGCGGCGCCCCAGAGATTCCGCGGCGAAGAATGCCCCGCCCAGTGTCATCAGCGCACGCGCGGAAGACGCCCAACTCCTTTTCTTAAATGGCGACCTCGGCGTCGCGGACGAGGGGGGCCATGGCCGACGCGTAGAGACTGCAAGTAAGAGCGCGCCGGTGGAGAATGCCATTCGCGATGGCAAACAGATAGGCGGCGTTCCCTGCGTCCATCGACACCGCCCGCGACGCGCGAACGCAGGCGCGACCGCTTCCAGACATTCCGCAGGAACACCAAGGAATGCCAAGATCACCAGCAACAAATACTTCTGAGAGAGGCCGGGGAAGGCTCGGCCGATATCAAACCCCGCCAGGATAGGGGCGCCTGCTCAGCATCTGGACGGAATCCAGCCATCCTCGCATACATGTCCGGCTCAACCACAGCGTCGGTGAACTTGCGCCCTGGGGCGAACCCACCTTGCGGCGAGGGGGCGACCTCCTCGGCGAATTTGCAAATCGCAGCGTTGAACATGGCGGAAATGAGCTTGACGCTGGCGCCTCGATGCCCGCGTGCGCGAATTGCCCCTGGGGAGCGAATGACTAATTTCATCGATTAGGCACGGCGCCTGCTGTCAGCAGTAGCAACGGCCACGCGGAGAGAACACCGCATGGGCGGCAGGCCGAGGCGGCTGGGCCAGCCAAGGGACTGACGCGATCGCAGGGGCGGGCGCCCTCAGGAAGGCCTGCCTGGCGTCGCCCGCTGGCCCGCGCAATCTGCCGCCGCCGAGCATCCGCGCAAGGGTTTCCCAGAGGGTCTCTGCGCGGATAATGGCAGGGGACACCGTCGGTTCCTGCGCGGCAAGGGGCGCCGCGCAGCAAGGGGCGCCGTCGGCCCGTTGCGCACTGCGCGCGCCCTTCACCTGGCCAACGGCGCGCTGCGTAGACTCCAGGTTGGGGGGCGGGAGGTCGGCAGATGGGCGCGGGGCCGCAAATCTCCGCGCGCTCACGAGCAGGGACTTCGTCGACTTGAACGTCCGCGAACGCGGGCGCCCAGTTGCTGCGACTTGCCTGCAGCTGCCCCCCCTGATTGCAGCGGGTCTTGTCGGCGTCTCGCACAGCCCAAGACCCCCCCCCCCTGCCGAACGGGGCCAGCATCTGCCCCCCCCCCCCCCCACACGATCATCGCTATCTCGGTGTCGGGCCACTCGTTGCGTCGAGCCTCGGCAGTGGCGACCCGGGTCGTAGAGATCCCCCTCCCCCCAGCAGCGCGAAGGCCCCCGCCGCCCCCACCAAACTCAGCAAGAGCCCATGGCCATTCACGACCGCCTTGTTATCCGCAACAGTCAAACAAGTGGCTGCCTGCGGCGAAACCGAGATGACGCGCGCGGCCAGCTTGGCGTCGCTTCCCCGCGAAACTCCCGCCGACTAGAAGACTAAGACCAGCTGCGACTGGACGTCGCGGGCCTCGACCGAGAGCGCCTTCGAGATGGCGACGCGGGCGGCCCCGATGATCTGCTTCTTCAGGTGGCCAAGACGCAGACGCGGTCATTCGCGGGCAGGTTCGCGGCCATGCGGTCCCAAATGATCGCGATATCGGGCCCTTCAATCACCGCCGGCGGGAAAACGGGGCCCTTGTTTGCCCAATTTTCTCGCTCGAACGCCCGCCCTCAGCGCGGCGCGATGACAGATCCATCTTGCCGCAGAGCGCCCCGGGCGAGTCGGCCACAGCTCTGCCGCGGGAGAGCCGGCGCATCGCCCGCGCAGGGGCGGCAGTCCAGAAACGATCCAGCGACGATGGCTCACCAGTTGTCTTGCAGAAAGGGGTCGGGTCGTGGGCCGAGAGTTCCACCGACGAATCGAAAACCGCCTTGGATTTGGCCGCGAAGTGACGGGCGTTGCTGCGCTCGCCGAGTGAGCTTCCCATCCGCGGTTGAAGCGGGTCGAACTTGCAGCAAGAAGCAAAGTTCATGCCACCCGCCAAACGGGAGTCGAAACCTTAGACCCTGCTTTGCCCAATCAATACCTCGTTGTAGAGCACGGAGAACGCTGGGCACATGTCTGCCCGAAAGACCACGGTTGCGGACGCCGGCGCAACGCGCCGGAAGAAGGCCATGGTCTGGCCCTGGGCCCGGCGCGCCCCCTGAACCGCAAGGCAGGCGCGGCCCGCCTCGCAACGTCTGCGGTAGCCCTCCTTCTCGAGAGCGATCGCGCTTCGCCGCCCGAGCAATTCCCGAGCGCCCCCCGCGCAGAATACTGGCATCCGACTCGGAGATCCCGCCGAACTCCCGGGAGCTCGCGACCCTGGAAGCGCGCCGCGTTGAAGGGCCAGAAAACTGTCAGAGAGATCGCCCAGGCTGAGCGTCTGGAGAGACGATGGGCTCGATGTGCTCGATATGCGGCTGTCGAAAAATTCGTCTCTCTGCCAGCCTTATCTGTCGTTTCATCTGACCGATGTCGGTTCTCTGCCAGCGCTGGGGGCCAGCCGAAGCAGGGGTGTCCAGCTTCCGGCAGCCGCCCATGGCCCCGATCACAGAAAAAACGGTTGTCGCAAAACTTGCCCCGAAGCTTGCTGGCACACTTCATGCCATGGACCACCGCGCGAATCTGGAAGGGCGGCTTTTCTGGTCCAACGTGCAGCTGGGTGGTCGGGCCGTCCACTGAAGGGACAGGGAACCTGGCCCATCCATCTTTCGTTTTGAACGCCCCCAATGGTTGCTGGGGACCCCTGGATGCCACTGCCACTGGCCCAGAAGTGTACTCCAAAGAACATATATTCTGATGCCGCCCCCACCTTAAACGCGCCCTCGAGGTCCGCGCTGGTGATCCAGGCTTCCAGAAACTGCGCAGCACTCTCCATCTGGACGAGGTCGGGCTCGATGACTTCGAGGGTCGCGATGCCGAAGTCGCGATTGAAGGAGCGGTCGTTGGGCTTCGGGGGGGGGGGGGGGGCGAGAGCCAGCTTTCTCTTGATGTCTTGCACCTGGGACTGAAAATCGAAGAGGACGTCATCATGCTTCTGGAATGTGTCAGCGTGCTCGTCCAGGTCGTGGCCAAAATAACCCATCTGCTTCTGAAAGCACAGCTCAATGACGTCAGGTCCAGTTCGAATGTTCGCAGAAACATCGGCTGCCACATTAGCTGGGGCGTTGGAAAGCGCGTCGCTGGACTGCTGGAGAGCGAGGTCGATGGGGGCTACGGCATTGGCGGCAGCGTCCTTGGCAGAGGCACTCTTCTTCGAACTTGCCCAAGGCCTCGCGCATGTGTGCGCGGACATGTTCCTTGACATGGCTGTCATACCATGCGTCCTGCTTGTTGTCGCCATCCGTGTTTGCCACTGCCCGTTCAGACCTTGAACGCACATCGGCATCAACCCCGAGAGAAACACGGCCGAATTGGGAATCATCTGGCGGAAGAAACCGTCGTCTTTCGAGAGACGGCACATTCTTCTCGCGGCAGGCACACGCATGCTGTCCGAAGCGTGGGAGTGAGGTACTTGCCGATGGCCGCTCCAACAATCACGACCAACAGCACGTAGCCGAACGCGACGACACCGAACGGCTGCCCTCTGCGTTGGTGTAGAAAGAAAAAACAAGAGTTGGCAACCTGCACTACCGTAGACGTGGACCGGAAGAGACTCAAGGCAACTCGTGGACAAGCGGTATGCACTTGGTTCTCCCAGGGGGCCATAATTTTGAGCCGAAACAGCTATACGGGAGAGCAGGAGGCCCAAGCGAATGATGCTGACCGAAGGGGTGAAGCAGAAGGAGGTAGGGGGCGGGGGATGAGCAGCAGGAGGGGGAAGAAAAGGAGTACCTGCTGCCCCTCTTCATCCATCCATCCGTACCCCCTCTGTTTTCCGTTTTCCCTCCTCCCCTCTCCCTCCTCCTCCTCCTCTTCCTCATCCTCCTCCTCCTACTCCTCCGCCTCCTCCTCCTCCTCC